TTTTTTGCAGAACCGGGGATTGAACTCAGGCTCTTATGCTTGCCAGGCAAGCACTTATTCTACTGAGCCATCTCCCCGGCCCCTATCTTTCTGTTTTCTGATACCTTCTTCAATCTCCTTATTCAGAGTATTATAATTTTCACTGTAGAGGTCTTTTCTTTCCTTTATTAGATTGATTCCTAGGTATTTCTGTTTTTTTGGATGCTATTATCGAAGGTATTGTTTCCCTAACATCTCTCAGTGAGTTTGTTATTTATGTACAAGGAATGTTATTGATTTTTGAGTGTTGACTTTGTATCTAGCTATGCTATGAATTTGGTTATTAAATTGAAGTCTTTTGCTGGAGTTTTTGATGCCTTATCACATCATCTGCAGATGATAATTTAACTTTCTTTCCTATCCTTATTCCTCTTATTCTTTCTCTTGTATTTTTTTATTTCCTGTTTTTATCATTCTGTTTTTGTTTTTCTGTTTGTTTTCCTTCTTGTGAAGGATTTTTTTTTTGAGGGTGTGGCTCAGGCTGCCTTATGGGTGGGTCTGGTAAGGCAGGTGGGGCTGAGGATTGAACTGGGGTCCCCTGCGCCTTACTGGGTTTTCTAGTGCGGGCACTTGGACAGCTGAGCTAACCCACAAGCCCCCACCTTCTTATGGAATAAGCACGTTTTAGATGACAGTGGTCCCTTGGTTCACAGGTCTTTTGGTGGGCAGTTTGGTTCTCAGGGAGAAGCACTTGGCAGAATTTTGGTTTTGTTTGCAGAGTCTACATTGGGTAACAGGCATGACCAAGGCCATCTTTCCCACACAAATGCAAATGTGGCATTTGCAAAAATATAAAACCATACCTGAGGATCAATGGAACAACTTTTCCAAAATCATGGAACAAATTAATTCTGCGAATCAAGGTACCACTGTATCTAATTTATCAATAATTTTGAGTGTATCTATTTGTATAGCTTTCTAAGTGGTCACTACAAGTATTACGATTCATGGTCTACTGCTGTTGTTTTAGCAGTTCAAATAAAATGTAGACATCTTAACTCTTAATCTTCTGTAATTTGCCTGCATGTATAATACAGTTGAAATAGTTTAACATTACATATATAATTACAGCAAGGTTATTAAATATTTTAAACTGTCAAAAATGAGTAAGAAAGCTAAAGGGAAGAAAAGCTCATTCCTATTCATAGTTTTGGTTTACGTATTTCTTTCTCCCAATTATATTGCAAGATTTCTTTTCTGTTTCCTTTGTACTTACAGAACTTCCTTTAGTGTTGCATTGAGGGTAGGTGTACTAACAGCTAATTCTTTCAATTTATTATTGTATGAGAAGTGTCTATTTCTCCTTCATTCCTAAAGGTTATTTTTACTGGGTATAGAATTCTGGGTTGCTGGATACTCCCCCCCTCCCCATACCAGAGATCAAACTCGGGACCTTGTGCTTGCCAGGCAGGCACTTATACTACTGAGCTATATCCCCAGCCCCCACAACCCTCCCCCTTTGGGGGGGCTGCTTTCAAGATTTTCTTACCTTTAGCATTCAGAAGTTAATTTATAGGGCCAGGGAGCTAGCTCAGTAGAATAAGCGTTTGCCTGGCAAGCACAAGATCCTGAATTGAATCCCTGTTACCGCCAAAAAAAAAAAAAAAGAAAAAAAAAAAGAAAGTTAATTTATGAGGTGTAGTTCTACAATGAGAGTCTTGTCATCTTTTTGGGTGTTTTCTTTCTGTTAAGATTGGGTCATTTTTGTTTTGTCTTCTAATGAACTGATTCTTTCCTCTTTCTGTTCTGCTATTGAATCCACATCCTCTGAGCTCCCCGTTCTACCCTCCTCCATTTATCCTGTTTTTGAGTTCTAATATTTCCCTTTGGCTCCTTGTATCTATTTGCCAAACGTTTTTCTTTTTTTTTTAGAATTTTTTTTCTTTGTATATTTAGGACAGGGTCTATAGGTCTACAGGGACTCACTAGGTAGATGGGGCTCGGTGATTCTGTTTTTCAGCTTCCCAAGTGCTGGGATTACAGGCACATGCCACCACGCCCTGTCTCAATCACCGTCACAGTGCACCCTGTGGGTGAGGCCAGCACAGCTCACTGGTGATCAAACCTCCAGCCACTACGCTGTGTCTAAGCAGGCTCTTTAGTCCACTGAGCTATCAGGCTGGCCATTACCAAACATTTTTCTGTGCTGAATCTCTTTCTCTGTTTTCCCCATTTATTAAGGCATATTTGTAATTTCTCTGAAAGCATCTTTCATGACTGATTTCTCTTATTTAACTGTAATGTTTCTGTTATCTTGGTGTGGGAATCTTTTATTTATCTTCAAGTCTTCTTTTTTCTTGATGTGATGAGTGATTTTTAGTTGAAATAGGACTTAATGTTAGGTTCTGGATCTTAAACTTTTCTTTTAGCTGCATTTTCTCTAACACTCATGGCAAGGGAAGCAGGAGCACTGTCTACTGCCAGAAGACATAGAAATTCGTATTTTACTTAGCCTTTGTGGATATATCTGGGAGTAGAAGATCCTCATTGCTGTTGGGTAGAAGTAGTAGTTTGTCTCCCATGTGGACTTCACAGGTACTGCTTATGTTGGTCTCATTACTGCCAGAAGGTGGTAAAATTCTTGACTTTGCTTGGATTCCTGTGGTACCCCTCAGAAGGAAAGTGGAAAGAGGCTTCATTACTGATAGAGAGGAAGGTGCCTGGGGTTGAGTGCTCAGCTCAGATGTTACCCCAACAGGAGTGTGGGGCAGTTCATTCTGTCACAGTGAAAGCCTAGGCTTCTAACTTGGTCTTTGCTGGTGTGTAGATCTGGAGTCATGTTTAGTCAGCCCTTTGCCAAATGTTTGACCTTTGTGGGATTTTGTTTTGGTGTGCATCCCTTGGTAGTTCCATATCAGTGGTTTTTTTCACCTCCATGTTGGGGTACATGAGGTTAAAAAAAAGTAAACCCAAGAACCACCACTGTGTCAGCTCTGGAGGTATCTGGCCATTCTGTCTTTTTCCTCATCTTTCATAGTCTCACATGTTTCACTTCCTTATGTGTTTCTCTTCTGTAATGTATAGAATTTTTAGTTGTATTTAGCAAGAAAGGAAAAAAATGTTTATGCTGTTGGTTCTGAAACTTTGTCATTTATTTCTGTTCCTTTTGAGGATCCTGAATCATGTTTTAATTCTAGAGTTTTGTTGTTATTATATTTGTGTTTTTTAAAAAAAAGATAATGTATTTGGTACAGGGTCTCACTACACAACTTGGACTTGTAGTGATCCTCCTGTTTTCAGCCTCCCCAGCACTGAGATTACAGGCTTGTGCCCCCACAGTGTGTGTCAGTTGGTGGCCAGCTCAGTGCACTAGGGGGTGGGATCAGCACTGCATGTAGTACCAGGGATCAAATCCTAGTCCCTGTGCTTGTCTAAGCAGGCACTTAGTGCGCTGAGCCATCTCACCAGCCTGTTGTTATTGTTACTGTTAACTTTACCCTGTAAACATGTTCTTTTTCCAAGCAGTGAAGAGTAATTGTAAATTGAAAGAAATTTCAAAAAGCAAACAGACATTGGTGAAAATACACCATTGGATCTCATTTGCACTTTCTTTGAGAGTCATACTTTTTTTTTTATGCTTAGGAATAGTTTTTAATTTACAAAGAAAGATCTCAGAAGAGAGGATCACAATTACAAGTAAGTAGTTAACAGTCACCTCTACATTTTTTTTTTTTTTTTTTCACTAAAAAGTACTAAAAAGAAGGCATCAATGTAGGTCTGGTTAAAATGGGCTGCATACCTAATGTTCTGATTGACATACTGTTCTTTTTTTAGTGGTACCAGAGATTGAACTCAGGACCTTGGGCTTGCCAGGCAAGCACTTACTCCACTGAGCTATTGTCCTGGCCTGACATAGTATTCTTGAAACATGAGTAACAGAAGGTCCTGGTACTTCGTGTATGTACCAAGAGCTAAATGAAATATAAAAGGACCATTGCAAGAATAAAGAGCTGTTGACATGAGAAGCTGAAACTTTTATTATTTGTCTTCTTAACAAAGACCTTTTTTTTATTTGTTATTGGTAGAACCTTAAAAGTGAAAGAGATTCTAAAGGTCAAGTAATTTTGCTAGTTCTTTCATCCATGTAATCTAGCTTCTTTGATTTCAAAGAAGGTGTACTTCCCAGGGTGGGACATTTTACTGTCAGTATCTCTAATGTCTGCCAGCCACTTTTATTCTGAATTGGCCTTTCCTGTTAGATCTTGTCCATTGGTTCTTTACTCTGTTTTAATTGTCTTTGACAGGAGTATAGGGGGCAGAAATAATCACTTTTTCTTCAAGGTTTGGATCATTATTAAATACCTTATTCCTTCATTTTTCTTTGATTTTCATTGCCAGATCGTTCACAATTTTGTCTGCCTTTTTTCGATCTGTATTTCTCTTGTTTTCTTAAGTGGAGCTGTGGCATTCAGAGCAACATGCAACACTTGTATGACAGGGGCAGGAACTTGGCTGCTTGAAATACTGTACTATGCTCTAACTCCTTGTTTGTACATAACAGAAGTCTTTCTGAGAGCATTTGAGACCTTGAAGGTACTTGTAAGTTGTTGTACTTGCTTTAGTTTTCAGCTCAAAACTGTTTTGAATTTATAAATGGCTTGTGGTCCCAAGAGTTTTTTCTTTCCTTGGTGAGTTAATGCTTAGCAAGTCTATCTTATTTTGTTACATAATGCAGTAGGTTTTTTAAAAATATCTAAACACAAGACATTTTTATTATGATGATGTTTTCTTGTTAGCTTTGTGGCATTCTTGAAGTTTTATTTCTTGTTGATTGATTATATTTGTCATGTTTTCTCTCCTGTAATCCCCCTTCCCAGTCTCCTACCCTTATCCTTGTCTTGTTATGCTCTCTTTTAACCATCATAACCATCTCTGTTGTTTGAAGTGTTGGTGAGGCGGGGTCAAATACAGAGTACTGCTAGAGCACTTCTGTATTGACATCAATCGATCAGTCTTTTTTTTTAGTATTTCAGTTGAACATGGTATAAGTGTCTTACATTTTAAATCAAAAACTGAAAAACAGTGTCTTCTCTAGTTTGGTAAGTTGTTAGTAACTATGCCAGTTGTTACAGGAAATTGGAGAATTTTTATGTATTTTTTAAAGTTTGAAATATTTTAGTATTTATCTTAGTTTCATTTACCTATTTTTAAAATATTCCAGGAAATCCACTTACCCAGGACATTTTGAACCTCTCTCTGGAACCAGATGGAACAAGAAGGCTACTGAACTATTTGCTTGATAATTTGTCAGGTACTGCAAAAAGAAGTAAGTGGTCATTTGTTTAAACCTTCTTATTAGGAAGACGTACAAGAATATTGCTTAATTTTTTGTTTTCTATATTTAACTAGTTTCCACAGAACAGCCACCTCCAAGATCTTGGATCATGTTACAAGAACCAGACAGAACAAGGCCAACTGGTTGGTAACATAATTTTTTAACTCTTTATTTGTACGTAATCTCAATAAGCCTTATTCTTGACATGCTTTAGATCGGTGGTGTGAACCTGTGGCACGTGTGCTAGAGAAGGCTCTAAAATGCTAACCATCACTGCTTTAGGTAATGGGCAACAAACATTAAGGCAGAATGCATTTGGTTGATTGGTTTAAGAGGTCATAATAGAAGCTTCGTTCTTGCTTATCTGGGCTCTGTGTGTGCTATGCTATATGTAAACTTCTCAAATGGATGCATTGTTATTCTCCAGGGAACATCTAGCACTGTCTGAAGGGCAGTTTTGATTATCAGAACCGGGAAGAGTGTTACAGGCATCTGGTGATTAGAGGCCAACAGTGCAGCTAAACGGTGCCTTCTACAGTTTACCCACCCAGAATGTCAGTAGTGCCACTGTTGAGAAGCCCTGATATAAAGTATCAGTCCAGTTCATTTTTAGTGAGTAACTAAGATCTTTCTGTAGTGAAAGTTTCCAAATCTTAAAACTGTTCCAAAAGTATTTAAATTTAATGAAAATTAATTTGGAATTAATTCCAAGTTTGGAATTAATTTGGAAGCTCCCTATATATAACAGGATTTTGTCTATGATACACCCTTTCTTTTGCATGAATGAACACTATGGGTATGACATTTAGTTGTACTTTGCTTTATTGTGCTTCACAGATACTGCTTTTTTGTTCTATAAATTGAAGGTTTGCAGGAGTGCTGTGCTGAGCATGTCTGCCATCATCATTTTTCTAATAGCTCAGATAATGATTGACATTTTTTAACTGTAAAATGTATCTGAAGTTACATGCCCTTTTTAGACATGTATTACACACTGATGGTAATATAGTATAAGTGTTACCATTTGTGTGCACTGGAAAGCTGAAAGATTCATGTGACTTGCTTTATTGAAGTAGTCATTGTATTGCACTGAGTGGAACTGAACTCATGCTATCTCTTAAGTGTGCCTGTAGTTTTCTATATCCTGCATTAAGAATCAGTGACCTAGTGGAAGAAGTAGAAAAAAGAGGAACCTTGGTTTTAGAGGTTGAAGAGCTCAAAATCTTGGTCTTTTGGCTTCAGACTTTCTGTGCTTACCATAATAGCGGATAACCTATTGTACTCTTAATTTGTTCATAAATCTCTTTTCATTACCTATCTTTACATCCTCTGTATCTGGCATATAGTAGATTTTTAGTAATAAATATGTTGAATAAAGACAAACTTAACATTTAAGTGAAAACTGTTACTGAAATTGCCTTTTTCCCCCTGCCATTTGTATGAATAAGTAGTTATTTTTTCTACAGCCTTGTTTTCTGTCATGTGCTATAATGTTCTTTGTGATAAATATGCGACCCGGCAGTTGTACGGCTACTGTCCATCATGGGCACTAAATTGGGACTACAGGAAAAAGGCCATTATTCAAGAAATCTTGAGCTGCAATGCTGACATTATAAGTCTTCAGGTAAGTCACACAGAAGAATATTTAAATTGCAAGAATCTTACAACATTGGCAAAGCAAGAAACAAAGATACTAGAATATGTTACACCGACACATTTGAAATCAGAGCTTCAGCATTTCTTAAAATACCAGCTTTTTTCTGTTTTTAGTAAATTGTAAGTACCTTACCTGCTTTGCTTTGCAACACTATGTTACCAAATAAAGCAAATCTGTTGTGTTACATATCGAACATTTATAAGAGCAGATAAATGTTCACTTGCCTTCCTCCTATAGTGTCCTGCACATTTTTGAGTTGGGTGGTAAACTAACTAAAATTGTGGCATTGCCTTGGCAATTTCACTTCATCACTAACATTAACAGAAGTTAGGACATAATGAAAAAAGGATTGGAGCTTATGCACAATAACTTTGTGTTTTGGTCCCCCTCTTATAATAACTTACAAAATCTTGGGCAAGTCACTGTGCCCTCATGGATCTGAAATTATGATCTATGAAATTCCTCCTAGATCTATGATTTATTTAGTCAATCCTAAGATATAGAGACATAGGGGCTGGAGAGATGGCTCAGTGGTCTAAAGCACCTACTTAGAACAAGCTTGGCAGAGCATCAGGGACCGCGGTTCGATCCCCCAGCACCACATGCCAGCCAGTCCCGCCCCCTGGTGGGCTGAGCTGGCCACACACACACATCTCTCTCTCTCTCTCTAATAAATAAAAAATAAAAAATAAAAATAAAAAAAAAAAAAAGATATAGAGACATATACGTTCATGTGATTGTGTGTCTTCTGTTTCATTACTCCTAAACAACAAAGAATTGACCTTGCAAATAACTGGTACCTATAAAAGGACAAATATATGCTATGATTGCTTTCAGATAAATTAGATTGAATAGATGTTGTTATTTAATCTGCAGCTCAGTCTTTTACCACTTCAAGCTTTAAAAGACTTTACATACAGAGTTAATATATAGGGCTAGGGGCTGGGGAGATGACTCAGTGGAATAAGCACTTCCCTGGCAAGCACAAGGGCCTGAGTTCAATCCCCAGTTCTAATAAATAAATAAATAAATAAATGGGTATCGTATAGCTAATTTTTGTCCTGTAAGTAACTTTGCCATTTACAACTTTTTCAGGAGGTTGAAACAGAACAGTATTACAGTTTTTTTCTGGTAGAACTGAAAGAACGTGGTTATAGTGGATTCTTTAGTCCTAAGTCTCGAGCTAGGACAATGTCAGAACAAGAAAGAAAACATGTTGATGGCTGTGCAATATTCTTCAAGATAGAAAAGTAAGTCTTTTTGTTTTTCAAAAAGAGAAATGTTCTTGGTATTTGCAGGATGGGGGCCAAAGGTGTAAAAATTGACAAATAAGAGAATGAGACACTATTATTAATCAAGAAAATAGTACTGTTGACTCAGATGTTTTTGTTTGTTTTAATCATCAGAAATAACTTCGTTTTGTAGACATGCTTAAAGTGCTGCTGTTCCTTCAGGTGTTTACTAGGACCTCAACTCCAATTGTTACTTGAAATACTACTTCCTTAACATTCCCAGTAGGATGATAGAGGGATTCTTAAACATATATATATATATGATTTATTTATTTATTTTTGGCGGAACTGGGGATTGAACTCAGGCCCTTGAGCTTGCCAGGCAAGCGCTTATTCTACTGAGCCATCTCCCCGGCCCCAAACCTATATTTTGAAAAAGAATTATTTATAAACTATAAGATGAACTATTTCAGAATGAAATCTAAATAGAAGATTATGGCATTACATTAATTTGTAAAGGTATTTCCACATGCTATTTATATCAATAACAGATTGAAAACGTTGAATGGATGTGAGAAGGTTGGTGCTGAGTGCAAGGGATTTTCTATAATGTGACTTAAGTGCCATCATATCTGTTAAGGAAGTTTGGCAAAACTATTTCCCACAGTAGTAATATCTTGATATTTCCCATTCTTTGTTTATGTGTGTTTTTGTTTCTGTTTTAGATTTACTTTGGTTCAGAAACACACTGTTGAATTTAATCAGCTAGCAATGGCAAATTCAGAAGGGTCTGAAGCTATGCTGAACAGAGTCATGACAAAAGATAACATTGGAGTTGCAGTACTGCTAGAACTTCAAAAGGAATTGATTGAAGTGTCACGTGAGTGGTCCTTTCACTTTCCGTAAAATTGTTCTCCAAAATTTAATAATTCTGATTAGCATCTTCAAAAAGAATAAAAGCCAGACATCTCTTTATGTATTAATGGTCTTATCTAACACCTGAAGAAACTCAGTGAGAATTTGTTTTTCTAAAACATGCTGTTTTCCACAAAGCTTGAGATAAGAAAACATTGCTCAGAAAAGTATTACAAACCTCAGAAAGACACAGCTGAAAAGAACTTCTATTTTTTGCTCTCAGGAATTTTTCACATAAAAGAAACATTGAAGTAAATGTTAATTAAAGTAGCAATGGATAAAAACCCTATACACTTTTATAATATCTTGTCAGAAAGATATAGATATAGATAGTATAAGCTAGCTTGCCTTTCTTTTTTTTTTTTTTTTACCCCAGAACTGGGGATTGAACTCAGGCCCTTGTGCTTGCCAGGGAAGTGCTTATTCCACTGAGCCTTCACCACAGTCTCCCGGAACTGGGGATTGAACATAGACCCTTGGGCTTGCCTGGCAAGCGCTTGTTCTACTGAGCTATCTTCCTGGCTCCACCTTGCCTTTCTTATCTACTTGTAATAATTTTATTGAAGGTCTTGAGTTTGAAAATAGTCCATTTACTTCAAATTCGAAGCATATTTAAAGTGGCCATCATGCTGAGAACTAAAAACTTCTGAATAATTTGAATGGGGGTATTTAATGTAAGGGATGTTGAAGATAGTGGAATTTAATGGTTAATATTGAAGAAAGAGGATTTAGATTTAATTCTTGATCTTTAGAAAGTTTCAACGAGACAGAAATATTTGATAATCAAGCTATCCTAAATAGAATGGAATATGTGGATACAAGTAGTGACTTTCTATATTAGAAATGTCACCCAGACATTTAGATGGTTGTATTGCATGTCATAGTGAATAAGAGGGAGAGTTATTAGGTAAATTTTGGGGTCCTTTTCTGTTCTGAGACTCTGATATAATTCCTTTCAGATTAAGAATCAGTGGCCTGATGGGTGGGTTTTTGTTTGTTTTCTTCTTATCTAATGTAGCTGGAAAGCCACATCTTGGAGCAGAAAAACAACTTATTCTGGTGGCCAATGCACATATGCACTGGGACCCTGAATACTCTGATGTGAAGTTGGTACAAACTATGATGTTCCTCTCAGAAGTGAAGAACATTATTGATAAAGCCTCTCGAAGCCTCAAATCCAGTGTATTGGATGAATTTGGAGCAATTCCCCTTGTATTATGTGCAGATCTTAATTCTTTGCCAGACTCTGGTAAGAAATGAATATTATTTTATATAGTACAAATGTGTTTTGACTTTAAATGGTTTTGCAATTGTTCATGATAATTCCAAATTTAATCCAAATGAAAATTTAGTTTGTGTTGGCAGTCAGGAGCAAGTTTTAAAACTTTTCATGTGAGATAGTGACATCATTTTGAAAAAGAAGTAATATAATGGAGACCTAAGGAGGAAGGTCATTAATCATCTTTAATAAACAGTAAAGATGTAGGTGATACAGATTGAGCATCCCTAATCCAAAATCTAAATACTCCAAAACCCAAAACTTCAAACACTGACATGATGCCACAAGTGGAAAATTCCACACCATGAAACTTTCATTTCATGCCTAAATTATATAAAATTCTATGTAGAATTCCTTTTAGGCTAAATATATAAGTAATATATGAGATATAAATAATTTAATGTTTAAATTTGGGTCCTAACCCCAAGATCATTGGGTATATGCAAATATTTTAGAACCTGAGGTCCAGAACACTTCTGGACCCTAAGCATGATAGATAAGGAATATACAGCCTGTTAATTTGAAATAACATGTAAATAAACATTTGTTATCCTAAATCATATAGTCCAGATTCCAGAAAGGTTACTAAGTTCATTTCTTTAGGATTCAGACATGTGATTGTATGAACTTAATCAGAATTTAACTGATCCTGTATTACATGATGTATGCTTATTCGTTTGTGACAGAGTGCCCCTACATATGTAGTTCAGAATGGCTTTGAACTCACTTAGTAGCCCAGGTTGACCTCAAACTCTTAAGTACCTCTTTCATCAGCCTCTGGAGAGCAGGAATTAGAGGTGTGTGCCACCATGCCTCGCTACAATCTTAAAATACTTCTTTTAAGTGAACGATTCAGAAAAATGTACCTCAGATAGGAATTGAGGTTATTTGTTTATGCCAATCATTCAAATCATTTTAAGAAAAAAAGCAAAAATTTTGGTGTTTTTAAGTCATAAAGTCAAAGATACAGAAACCCTGATCTTGAGTGTGCTCTTTTCCATGGATAGCATGGCAAATAAAATGTAGCCCTTGTGATAGCTACTAGATGGTTCTTGTTTGTGTTCCAACTCTTTGTTCATACCCTGCTGCATACAAGAATGCTTTTCTTTGGACTTGAACACATACTCACACACACTTGCCTCTGTGATAGATGAATTTGGTGGGACATTATTGCCATCACAATAGGTAAAAGTCAGTAAAAAGAAAAAAACAAACTGTCTTAAGATTTGTTTTTAGGGGGGAGGGGAGATAGCTCAGTACAGTAGGTGCAAGCACAAGGGCCTGAGTTCAATCCCGGTTCTGCCAAAAAAACAAAAAAAAAGATTTGTTTTTAGAGAAAATGGAAATATTGCTAAGATGTTTAATTCTTCATCCATCTCATCAGTCTAGCAATTGCTAGTACTGAAGAAATTGATTAGTATCTGGCCATTTCTCTACGTGCTTTTCACCCTCTGTATAGCTACAGGGTAAGGAGAGAAAAGTACAATATTTTAATAGCAAATACATGGTGTAGTGTTTATTCATGCTGAGTAAATAAAAATATATTTGCAGAACTTATTTTATACTTAGGAAATTGGGAAAACAGTGTCCAGCTTTGTAGTTAGCTACTGAGATTCTCTTCCATAGTTTGCAGTATTATAAAGTGACATACGGGGGGCTTGCGGATTACCTCAGTTGTGTAAGCTCCTGCTGGGACAAACCCAGTCAGGCGCAGGGCACCACAGTTCGATCCCCTGCTTCCCATTCCTTACCAGACCCACCCTTAAGGCAGCCTGAGCCAGCCAAAAATAGATAAATAACAAAAAATAGATAAATAACAAATTTAAATAGATAAATATCCAAAGATTAGAATTAAATGTCCTGTAGATTATAATTTAGAGTAAGTAGAAATGTATGTACTAAGATGTTGATTGTGGTATTTATCTTTAATTCTTTTTAAAAAGTAGAATTTTTACTAGTTTATTAGCAAATATACTATAGCTGAATTGTTTTATGCAGCCATAAACAAAGATAATTAAGACACATCTGTTTGTGAGATGCAGTTTTAAATGAATAAAGATGGTTGTAACTTCGTAATAGATTTCGACGAGTTCTGGCAAAGATTTGTTTTTTTAAACATTTTAGAATGTGGGATTTTTTAAATTGATTACTATTGCATGATTCTTTTGAATTTTACTTTATTTGCTGTTTATTATGCTTGATAGTGTTGATAGTGGCTAAAGTACATGTCTCTTCATTTTAGGTGTTGTAGAATATTTGAGCACAGGCGGGGTAGAAACAAATCACAAAGACTTTAAGGAACTGAGATATAATGAAAGTCTTATGAACTTCAGCTGTAATGGAAAGAATGGGATGACCAATGGAAGGATCACCCATGGTTTCAAGTTGAAGAGTGCCTATGAGAGTGGCTTGATGCCTTACACAAATTACACGTTTGACTTCAAGGTGTGTCTTATGATGGATTCCTGTCTTTAAAATGTGGATGTGTGTTCAGGCTGGAATTAGCCCTAAGTTCATTGACAGCTGTGTTCTTTTACTGATCTTCTGTAGAATTTCTTATGATTGATGTCATATACTTATGAATCTATTAGAAATATTTTCTACAGTGAGAAGTCAGATGAAATAATGGAAGTAAAAAATTCCTAAATTAGCTTTTATCTTTTAGGGGCAGTTTCTTACATGCTATCAATTGGATATGTAATACTATAATATCTAATTTGGTTGTCAGGTGAGAGCAAAACTTCATGTGTACTTCATTTTAGCTGAAACTGTACCCCTTTGAGTGCTAAAATGTGATTTATATTATCCTTTTAAAAATGTTTCTAAAATATATTTTGTGCTGCATTACACAGTTAAGGCAGCACATAAATTACAATGTGGAACCTTTTCTCAGTGACTCATGTTTTGATATTGGTGATTACTTGAGGCTGTGTCATTTTATTTTGATCAGATGTCCTTTTTAGGTAACTATTTGTATTTCTGTTCTGCTAAATTCCAGTTTCTATTTCTGTCCTACTAGTCAAATAAATATTCTGCCAATTAGAGTATAAACAAGAGCATAGGTCATGTTCCAGGAGCTCTTGCATAGAAATGGCGACCTGTGTCAAGCCTTAAATGCCCTTTCCTCTCAGTTTCTTAGGCAGACTGATTGATGAGGAAGTGAGCATGATAACCAAACGTTGGGGAGAGTATAGGGTTTTTCAAAACTCTTAATTCTGTTGCTGATATCAAAATTGGAAGAAGACACTGAAATACAGTGTCTTTAGCTAACAGCACATGAAAGAGGGGCTAAGTCATAGGAGAGAGGCAAAGCCCATAGATCACAGAGCGTTAGCGACAGCTGTTGAGCTGCTGGAAGGATGTTAACATAGCCCTCCTTAGTCACCATGCCCAGTCTCAGTCGCTGTCTTCATGCTCTGGAGAGACAGGTTTTATATTGGTCAGATTCCTCTAACAAAGTACTTAAATAATTAACTTACAAAGAGAAAGTTTTATTTTGGCCCGTGATTTTTTTTTTTTTTTTTTTTTTTTTTTTTTTTTTTGTATTTAATCGTTAAGTTCCTAGGTATATCAATCACATGCTTTATTGAGGCTTATCTGTTTCTTATGGTAAAAGCTAAATCTGAGTGAAGTAAATTCACTGGAAGAAATAAAAGAACTACTTAAAATAAAAAATTTCAATTCACACTGTAAAATATTTATCCAATGAGAATGTGAGATACATGATTTTTCAAAAATCACAAATCTGAAGCAGGACTTGGATACTACTTCAGTTATAACCTGGGACTGGAAGCTTATGTCTTTCCTTTGCTTCAAAAAATGTGTAAGAAAGCGTGATAAGATCAACATTCACCATTCTTGGGTCTTCTGCAAATTCAGGATCAATATAAAAAAACACAGGCATGTCTACTTCTTCTTGGGGATTCAGTCTTTGCTCTTCAAAACAGAAGCACTGTATTTTGTTAAAATACTGTCCAGCTTCAAATGGTACAACATTATATGTAGAAATTCCAATGACTGGTTTGTCAGTAGGATTCTTAGCTTTATAAAATGCCAGTGCAGTCTCTCCTGGTACCACGTAGATCTCCGATTGCTGAGGTCTAAAGTTTCACTGGAGACTGGCATGTACGTCTGCATTGAAGATAACCTTAATGATCCGGTCCTTAACAGGCACCATGTTTTCCACCTGGTCTGATCTGTGACCTGCTACTGCTGATCCTCCAAGGCGGGTAGTTTTTCCGATGACCTGGGGCAACTCTGAGTTTGAGCCTGCCTCCTCCTGTGGGATGAGCGGGGGCATCCCTTCCAGGGGCGCGCACCTGAGTCAGTCCACCAGCACCTCACCTCTGCTGAGGGCGGCTGCCTACCTGGCAATAGAGCCGATACAGGGGCACAGTGATGTAGGAAGCCCCCAGCATGCCCACAGCGGCCACGGCCACTTACGTGTTGGCCCGTGATTTTGGAGGCTCCAGTATATGATCTCTTTGGGTCCCTCTGGCAAGGGTAGAACCTAATGGGTAGGAGCATGTGGCAGAGCAGGGTTGTTACCTCATTGACTGAGGGCCAACGCCAGAGAAGGGAAGAGGAAGGCCAGGGTTCTGTAGTCTCCTTCAAGTCCTGCCCCCAGTGATGGAAGTTGCTGTGCTCTACTTCCTGAAGGTCTGCAGTAGAGCCAGCCTGGGGATGAAGCCTTTAATACATGGGTCTTTGGGGACATTCAGCATCTAAACCCTGACAGGCCTCACCCAAACAAACAAGTGTATAACCTGACCTTGGGAAAAGCATTGACAAGGAAGAGAATCATTGGTTGGTGGTATTATGTGAGTGGGAACAAGAAAGTGATTGAACCTGATATTTGAAGATTGAGAAAGAACTAGCCAGATAGGAAGTATTAAGAAACTATCACAGGGGGCTGGTGAGATGGCTCAGTGGTCTAAAGCACCTACTTAGAACAAGCTAAGCAAAGCACAGGGACCACGGTTCAATCCCCAGCACCACATGCCAGCCAGCCCCGCCCCCTGGTGGGCTGAGCTGGCCACACACACACAAAAAATATAAATAAATAAATAAATAAATAAATTTTTTTAAGTATTTAAAAAAGAAAAAAGAAACTATCACAGGTAGGAAAGAAAGCCTGTGTTCAGGTTCTGGGGCTGGAAGGAATTTAGCACCTAAAAGATAGGTGCTCTTCTCAACCAGCCTCCCAGGCTAATATGGCATCAGGGAAGATGACAGAATATTAGCAAAGAGCAGCAGAGAAAGGGTCGTGAAGGGTCTTTTGGTTCTCATTGAAAGTTTGGTAATGGTACAGATAAAGAATACTTCATTTGGGTAAATTTGACATTTGTGAGACCTTTTGGTTTCTATTGTACTGCTTTGTGCACCTAATAACTTTCTTTTGTTTACCAAATATAACTATAAGGGTAGGTCTTCAAAGCACACTGTATTTCAGTGTTATCTTATGTGGGGCCTTGTGTTTTTCTCTTATTCTTGTTTTTCAGGGTATAATTGACTACATCTTCTATTCCAAACCTCAGCTGAACACTTTAGGCATCCTGGGACCTCTGGACCACCATTGGTTAGTTGAGAACAATATCAGCGGCTGCCCACACCCTCTCATCCCCTCCGACCACTTCTCACTTTTTGCACAACTGGAGCTTATACTGCCTTTCCTGCCCCAAGTTAATGGCATTCACCTTTCTGGCAGGAGGTAGTCATGTACCTTTAGAGGAGAACCTCAGTTTTACTTGTAAACTCATAAGAATCTGAACATAGGGGTGAGGTTTGGCTAGAAGGTTTTCTCTATGATGATTCTGCATTTTCAATTTGATGGTTTGAAAAAAGGACATAGTATGAAAGCCAGGTGCTAGCAACAGACACATTCTGAGCCCAGTATGCTTTGTATACTGCTAGACAGGGATTGGTGTGGTCACACCTATCTAATTCATTACAAGTAATTTTCCTGTTTCTTCTATTCAATATAATATTTTCATGCCTTGAAATAGGAAAATGTTGGAACAGCATATTCTCTTTGCACAGAAATCTGTAGCACTACATCTTTGAGGCCAGTAGTAACATCCAGAGACCATTCTTCCAGACTTTCCACCCTTTTTCAGACTTATTTGTAAAATATAGAATTTGAATTTAGTCTCTATGATTGTATATGATTCACAGAAAATCTGATTTATGAAATTTTGTACTTAAAATCAAATTTGAAAGCAGTTGTATGGTAAACTAAGGCTAAATTTTTTACCTGTCTCCTGTGTTCTGAAGGCCAGCTTGTAAAAGAGTAGCAACAGACTTTCTCTGCAATGATTTGCACTGTCAGGGTTTTGTTAGCCCTTTTGTACTACTTTATTTTTAAATTGAGAACATTGCTCTTTCAATCTTAAGTCTGCTTAAACTGCAGGACATTTTCTTGGACCAGAGCAACTTATTCATAAATTCCTCAATTTTTATGGAAACTATCTACTAGGACAGATATGCTGAATAGTAAAAGATTCATAGCATTTATAAACTGAATGTGATGGTTAATGTATGTACATTCTGGTATTTTTAAATCTTTATCTTTTTTAAGTTAAAAAATTACAGCTGCTTAGATACAGCTTCTTAACTCCTTTTTCAGACACTTCCTGACCTATCTCCGCTGTGCCTGCCTAAATTTGTTCTCACCAAGCACTGCCTGTGCATGCAGAGAAAATCTGTGCATCCTCTTTTATATTTTTTAAATATTATTTAACATTTGTGAAAATTTTATGAAAATGCTTTTGTATGGGCTGTGGCTTTTTTCCCATTGTGAAGCATTGAATATCACATTTGGAAAATGTTCCCAGTTTGGGTCTTTGCTCACCTGACCCATGCACTGCTTCTTGGTATCATTACACAGTGCTTTTGTCACCCAGAATACTACTATCATGTGAATTTTTTTAATCCATGTATTCTTTGTTCTCTTATATTTCTTTTAAAATCATTCCTTTTCAAAGAAAAAGTAATTTTCTGTTTATGAAGCAGTATAAATTAGATACATTTTCAAAACAGGTCCCTAAGACATTTCTTCAGATCGTTTTTAAAGTGACCAAGTCATTGTCAAATGTCAACCAAGATAAAAGTTGCATTGTACGTTGTGTTTGCCCATAGTGGCATTAGTAAATTAGAGATTAGAGCCAGCTTTAACTTTGCAAAGTTAACTTGTATATATTTTGTTCTCAGTCATTTGTTCTTCTGAAAAATCAAATGAATTCAGAGGGTGTTTGGTCTGCTTTTGTTTCAACTGCAGGCAGGGGAGCAAAAGGACACCATGTGAGCATTAAGAAAAAAATTGTTGATTGTTATTAACAATTTTTATACAGAGAATGAGTCATTTTGGATGACTTAAAATTTTAT